GCGGTTAAACTAAATTTTATTCCCAAATTTCTGATGGAGGCCTCCCATGCAACTCTGTTGCCTTCCCCTCATCCCACCCTTGGCCAGACAGAAGCCTACAGCTTTAAAGAAAAGGCTACCATGGGGAGGGGGATTCAGACCACTTCCTGGTGACTGTTTGCAGAGGTGGGATGCAAATTCCATGATGCCATTTGACGCTACTTGAGAGGAAATCTCCACCCATCCACCCCAAAAAACAATCTGCATGCTGCTCAAGAACGTTTGCCTGGCATGTACTACAAGAACCCTGCCCAGAAATTTTTGAAACTGTCTGAAGAAGATGGAATATGTTACTGTTCACAAAGCTTGCAATCTATTTTTTCAGTCATCTAATAATGGTATCGCCTGCTTCTGCATTTATATTGGGGAGTTTTGAGACCACCCGGCCTATTTTAGATTTTTTGCTCAACTAAGAAAAAAAAAACAAGTTATACTTAACATATTTAAGACAAAATCCAAAAGTATCATGCTTCAGGAGGCAAGACACAATTCCTGCAGAGTCACTTACAACACAGAAGTAAAACTAGAAAACATCTGAGCAGATCAAGGAATCATCAACCAAAGTTTACTTGGTTACGTCTTATTAAAAACCACTCCACCAAAAGAGTGTATCTCAACACCATCTTAGACTATAATAGTTAACAATTAATTATACTTTACTCCAGTTAATATTTGTGTCCAATCAATACTCTGCAATCAAATCTGTCTAATAAGCCTGGACCTCCCCCAAAAGCATATATTGATTTTCATACTCTGGCCTCTCAACAACATGAAGCACAAATAAATGAAAATTAAAACAGATAACTTATTAAACCATAGAAAGTATTAGATCACAGTCCTTCCTCCAATAACAGAAAGTCACTATAACTTGTCATTGGTAATTAACTTTTGAGGAGGAAAAAGCAGAATAGAATTCTACATCTAGGTTTTCAACCCACAGGGAACATTTAATAAGAATTTCTCAATTAACAGTTTGAAAGCCAGCGTGATATAGGAAACAGGGTGTCGGAGTAGTGGATGGGTTCCTTAGCCAACCATTGCTCAATCCTCCAGCAAAGTTCAGAGGCCACATCAACATACATCTTTTTTGTTACCAGCCACCCACAGGGAAGCGGGGGACATCTTCCCTCAAACTAATTTGCATTTCAGTGCAAGATATACACTATTTTGGAAAAGAGGCTCTGTGCTTTATTGTATAACCAGGTGTTTCTAAGCATTTCTAGAGACCAGTGGACTCTCAAGAGCTTTACTGCCATTTCTCCTTAAATCAGAGGGTCAGCATCTCCTCTTCAAATGCTGAACCACCAGATGAGAAACTGACATGCAAAAAGAAATCAACCACCGAACATTTCTTTTCTTCCACAGTTTGACACACGTTTGTTGAATACGACTCTTGAAAGTTCCAGGAGAAACATTGTCTCTCTATCATCTGCTTCCCTAATGTAACACTCTTGGTTTTCTCCTTTTCAACTTCCTTTTAGTTGGTTTAGCACCGTTTTCTGACTGTCACAGTGTTGCAAAAATTAACAAACACCTTGGTAGGCCAATTTCCAATGACTTACAAGGTGGGAGGAAAGAGAGATTGGCCAACCATGAAAAGACTTTTAACTATTTATTCTGTAAAATAAAAACATAAACATGGGTTTAGTATAAAGCTTATCAACACTTCATTTCTTCGAAACGGATTAATTGCATTTCAGTGCATTCCTATGGGAAATGGTGCTTCGATGCACGACTATTTCGAGTTACGACCGGAGTTCCGGAACCAATTAAGTTCGTAAGTCGAGGCACCGCTGTATGTCAAGGCAGGCCATTTCTAATCCGCAGTCTCACACCCATTTACTTGGAAGTAACCCTCACGAAACTGAACAGGCCTCTGAGCTGATATATGTAAGACTTCTGCCTGTGTAAGCTTTCACATCCTTTTTCAACGCTGTTCCCCCAGGCCCACATTTTGTCATGTCTCAGCAATATGTTTACCCATACATTTGTTAATGCATGAGCAAGCTAGGCAGAGAAGAAAAGGGAGATCCTGCCCCTGCTCATCAAAAATACAACAGGCCAGCCACCAAGGGGTCAAAAATTAAAAATTAAATGCAGAAAGGTGAAAAGCACTTTGTAGCAAACCAACACTCTCCTTCCAAACACCGATCAGAGACGACAAAGAGAGTCACACAGCCCTCTAGTGCATTATTCTATATGATCTTATTTTTTTAAAAAAAGTGGTTGAGAACCAGCAAAACCAGTGCACGCAGGTGAAGCCAGAGGAAAGGTGCTACATCAGGTTTATGCAGAAAGAGGTTGCCAAGGAAATCTCCAGATGGAGACAACCGTTACAGGTAACACATCCTCAAGCATCTGAACCAAGGCAAATCAGGGGGTGGTTCCATATATTGTTCAACTACAAATCCCACTGCCCACATTAGAGAGGGATGACCCAACTTACGGCGGACCACCAGCTGCCCATCCTGTTGCAAACAGAGGCAAAAACAGAACCTATAACTCAAAAGTAGTGCTTCTTTCTTTTTGAACACAATTCAAAAACAGCAACCTGAAGACACCATTAGATTTTATACTGTCAAAACAAAATTGTCATGAATAGTTTCAGCAGCTACCGTTTTCTATTGTTTATGGCTGATGCAGTGATATATCAAAGAGTTCATACCTTTATATTTTACATAAAGAAGTTTTGAATGGATTTTTTTTTTCAGACTGTGCACCTGAAACTGTTCCAAAGAATGATTATGAGTTTCACTGGCTCCAGAAAACACAGCATAATGTTATCTGTAAACAAGTTGATTAGTCTGTTTACAGCTTCTTAAACGTTCTCCATCTGGGTTGGATTTAAATTACGCTGACAAGGATTCTATGGCTATTGTGAATTTGGGAGAAGAGGCGTCATTCCTTTCTATCGTCTTTTGAATTGTTTGGAATCTACCCAATTTTGTTGGGCCCACTGATTGAGAGCCAAGTTCGTCAAGACATGAAAAGTAGTGAAAGGCTGTCCTACAGAGGAGGGACAGTATCTCTTCTTGATCATCCCAAAGGGCAGGACACTTAATAATGGGATCAAGCCACAGGAGGCCAGATTTACGTATGCTGAATATCAGGAAAACTCTCTTAACTGTTAGAGTAGTACAACAATGGTATCCATGATCTCATGAGGTGGTGAGTTGCTCCCATGCTGGAGGTCTTCAAGAAAAAAATTGGATAACCATCTGTCAGATCTGGTTTGATTTAGATTCCTGTATCGAGCAGGGGGTTGGATTCTGTGGCTTTATAGGCTCCTTCCAACTCAATTATTCCCTAATTCTACGATAGTCCTTGAAGTGGAAGTGGTCAGTAAATCGTTAAGTGCAATGAAACCAGTTTACCAGAAACAAACTGATGTGCTTAAACCACACTCTGAAGCCTACACAGCTCACTATATTAAGAACTCTAAACTGTTTAAGAAAATTTGAATAGTTTAGACTGGAACACTTAAAAAGCTTCATGGAACAATCCCACTGAATAGGACGGTTTTCAGTAAATACACAGAGGACCGTGCTGTTAATTCAAAATTCACTGCATCTGTTCCACCAAATGTTGTGCAGCTAATTTCGAACAGTTTGTTATTCTGTTGATAAAATGGCGTGACCCGAGTGCAATTTCTCCCTGCCATAAAATATAAACATGGGGAAACGGACAAAATCATTAAATCAGTCCATTTGGTAAACTGGCCAAAGCGGACTCAGCCAGTTGGCATTATTATCAGACTGATCAATGCATTAACACAGTAAATGTTTAACAAGGAGACAGCCAAAATGTAGGATAATTAACTGTTACATTAGTGTGACTGCAATTATTTTTTAAACCATGTAGCTAATGTTATGTAGTTTGCTAAGTCAGATTGCTAAGTGGAATATTTCCTCCATATTTGCCTCTGATAAACCCGACCATGAACATACAAACATCAGGATTTATACTATGCTAATTTGGTGCTGACACAAGTAACCAGGAGAGAGCCAAAATATAGGACACTGAACTGTTACCGAACTAGTAATTCTCTAAAAACCACAGTGAATGTTAATTATTTTTTTAAATGGTGTAGTTATGTCACAATATGTAAACAAAGTTCTTAAGATAAACATTATTTTAAGAATGGACTCATAAAAAGATTTTATCCTTCAGGCCCTCTTCACAACTGCAAAATGTACAGGATAAAGAACAAGCAACTGTGATTAAGTAAACGTGCTACAACCACCGTCTCTCAATGCAGTGACAATAAAGCAGGTGCTAGGTAGAGATATATGGGCTCCAGAGGATGCTATATTAATAAAATTCGTCATGTTATTGGATTTCTTTTCCCACAAGACAAAACAGCACTACTGCTCCAGTTTTACAAGATCAGCTGTTTGAAAGCTGTTGCAGGCATCATACACTACAGGTATCACACATTTTATGTACAGTGGTACCTCGACTTACAAACAATTTGAGTTATGAACGGCTTCAACTTGCGAACGGAGCTTCGACTTCAGAATGAAAAAAAAGAAAAGAAATAAAAAACCTTTTCCAGGCCTGGAAAAACATCTTGTTGCTTTTGAACTCCTACGAAAAGAACACAGGGGCCAAGGAGATGAAGGTTTCTATGGGATGGAAGCTACCCCTTTGCTTCCTTCTTGCCTTGTTACCAGCTTCCTCAGTGTTTTCAAACAAAAGAGGGAGAGAGGGAGGCAAAAGCGTATATTTAGGTCATTTTTACACTTGAGTTGCTTCACCCAGCTTTAAAGCATAGAGGCATGTGCAGAAGAGCAAGAGGAAGTGTCTCTCTCTGAGATCTCTGGAAGGACAGTTCAGTCCCTGACCTCCTTTACAAATAGATCAGGGCACAATTCAACTCAGGCCAGGCAAAAACCTTCAGTCTCTCCAGCGGTTATAACTTTAACAGTCAATGCACAGGAATATGCTTAAGTGTGCTTTACCTTATTTGACCATTTATAAGCCTGGAGAAGTTGACTATAGAGAGGTGTTTTGTCCTGCACAGGATCTAAACTCAACAGTCCGCTGTTATGTAAGGGATGATTCTCAGACGGCTTGCCTACAAGATTACTGAGACGTTCAAGTTCTCTAAAATAAAACAAAATGAGAAATAAAGTGATTAGAAATGATGTTCCTGTTGGTTATTTCAAATCACCCCAGTTGTTAACTAATTCTTCTGCAGTGAAATTTAATGCAAGAAAATGGGTTTGACTGTAATCTAGTCCTTGATTTACCAACTGGAGTTGATCAGCATTTAGAAAACACATTTAAAAGCTCCACTTTTAAAGGAACTCTCAGACCTTGCACCTGCCGAACAAAGTTTGCAAATATACCAATGGAAGTGCAACAGATCTAGGAACAATGGAAATAATTAGGGGAAACTCTTATGTGCCCAAATCACCAACCCGTGCTTACGTATTTCCATAAAGAAACAGACTTGGCTAAGAAAGATTATGTGTTCAAATTAATGAAATGCATTTCATAAAGAAGCAGTGAATGCAATCGAGTCTTCTAACTCCAAGTCCCAAACTCTTACCAGCTGCTACATCATGCTGGTTCTGACAGGATCTCACCTAGGGAAGAACAACTACTTCCGTCAGTCCCTTGAAACTTATAGCCACACATTCAGGTCTAAGCTCCGTCTGGTAAAATGTTTCTTCTATAGCAGCCAGATATACTGCCTCTTAGCATGGAAGTTCCAATCCTTGCCTCTCACAGTCAAAGGCTGTTCATTAAGCACACTTTCCTCCCTCGTGCATTTATCTATTCCGATTTTCATGTTTGTTGCTACATTTGACAACTACTTGAGTAGACAATAGGGAGCCACTGAGACAAACCATCAGACTAGTATATAACAGTATCTACCCGTGTTCATTCTTTTATGTCTTACCACCGCAGGGTGTATACTAAGGGAAGTGGCTCCTCTTAAGAACAACCATTCCCTGTTTGTCTTCTCCTCACAGTATTCATTCAATCACGAAATTTCAGAGCTGGAAGCTCCTCAGAGGGTCATCAGGGCCAACCTCTGGCCAAACCAGAGAAGGTTACTTCAAAGAGTACTCTGCTTTTGGAAGCCCCACCACCTAGCTGAAAGAAGACCTTACTTAAGAAAGTCCTTCCTCAGCTCGGAACAGCCGTAAATAAAGCTATTTATCAAACATATTGTCCACACAACACGACATTCAAGGGTAGGCTGCCTCTGGTCATGGAGGCACATTTCAGCCTATCAGCCCTCTTCAAGGGCTATATAACATCAAAAGAATTATAATTATAACTTACTGGGGATGACATCATATATATAAATTCATATATACACATAATTCTATAATTCTGCAACACATAATTTTTTAAAAACTTAATTCCTGTGTTAATTGCGCTCTGTTTTTAAATGTTTTCAGTATTGATTTTATTTACCTTTTAAAAAATATAATACTTGTTTCATTCGTTTTCAAAAATGTGTATATTGCAGGTATGAATAAATAAATATTTGTTTGAAAAGATTTCCTAGTTACCTGTAGGATGGGCAAACAGTCCTTTCCCATTCATCTTGGTTAGAGTTGACAGAGAAGTCAATGATGTTTTTTTATTAGGTTTGATAAATAAATAAACACTAATGTCATTCTTGTCCAGAGCATTGCATCAATATGTTAAAATAAGACGAGGTGGGCCTTAAAAGCCTATTTCATTTACTTCACAATCATATAAATATTATCTATATTAGAAGGCCTACTGTCATCTTCCTCCATGGATAGAGGATTTCTTTTTAAGGAGCATGTCGGGATAAAAATATTTTAAATAAATAAAATATTTATGCACTTTTACATAAGTACTGTACCTACTTATCCACAGAATCAGTATCGTAGATTCACTTATCCAGGGTCTAAAATTTTTTTAAAAAAACTAGAAAGGTATCTTCTCTAACCATGAAGTTACCAGAACTGCCCCCCTAGAAGGAGCCAGAGACCATGCAAGGTAGAGAGCCCACTCTTAAAAGAGTGTTCACTGTTATCCGCTTTTCTCAGCATCCGCAGGGTTTGGGGGGACGAATCCCCCGCAGGTACGGAGGTCATTCCAGGCACATCACCTTCACCTCATTCTGCCTTAGGTGAAGAAGAGGAGGAGGAGGAAGGAAAGGAGGGAGGCAGCCTCCCCACCACCACCCACACACAGGCAGATTCACTTATCCAGGGTCTAAAAATATTAAATGAAAAAAAAACCTAGAAAGATATCTTCTTTAACCATGAAGTTACCAGAACTGCCCTCCTCAAGAGGGGAGCCAGAGACCATGCGAAATAGAGAGGCCGCTCTTTAAAAGAGTGTTCACTGTTATCCGCTTTTTTCAGTATCCACGGGGTTTGGGGGGGACTAATCCCCCACAGGTTCGGGGGTCCCTCCAGGCATCTCACCTTCACCTCATTCCGCCTCAGGTGAAGGAGAGGAGGATGAAGAGGAGGGAAAGGAGGAAGGCAGCCTCCCCACCACCCACCCCCACAGGCGAGGGGCTTCCTCACCCCAGGTCCCGGCTGACGGAGTGCAGGCTCTCCTGGAAGCTGGAGACGAAGCCCTTCTCGCGGCCCTCCAAGGTCTCTTTGTTCCGCCGGCCGTCCTTCAGGCAGTCGAAGACGCGGGTGACGCTGGAGCGCAGGGCTTGGATGGCCGAGATGGCCTGGGCGAAGGCTTCCAGGTTCACGCCGGCGCTCAGCACCGCCTCCGCCATCTTGGACGCTGCTGAGGAGCGAAGGCGAGGAAAACGCGCCCCCTTTTTTCCCCTCACTGAGGGAGAAGCCCGCCTTTTCTCCCAAGGCCGTAAAGCCTTTTGGGAAATGTAGTTCGAAGGGGGGGAATCAGGCTTGCGCCGCTTGGGTGGGCGCAAAGGAGCCTGGGAATTCCTGAGGGAAGGGCAATAGAGA